GGCTGTTGCTGCTGCTGTGGCTGCTGGGGCTGCTGCTGGAGTTTCTTTGGACAACGACTAGCGAAATGTCCGGGCTCGTGGCAGTAGTAACAAATATCCTGGCCCATATGACACTCTCCGCGATGAAGTCGTCCGCAAGTGGGGCACTGTGGGATCTGCTGCGGCCTCTGTCGGGTCCTCCTGTCCGTCTGGGCACCCTTCCATTTCCTCTTGTTGTTCTTTGGTGGTGGGGCAAAAGTCGGTGGAACTGTGGATGACTGGGCAGGGGCAACTGGCTGTAATCGATCATGGTTCACCTCCCTTCGAATGCTGGCATCCACCTCCTGGGCAATGGCAACGGTACGAGCATACGTCTGGGTCCTGTGACCTACAATATTGTGACGGACTGCTGGGTAAAGCCCGTCAGTGAAGCGCTGTGCTCGCTGTGCCTCAATACGTACCAAATCTGGAACAAAGGCCCCAAGTCTGGTAAACTCTCTCTCGGTAGTACGTGGGATAGTACTTCTCCCGAATCATTTCCTTGAATCTCTCCCAGGTACAACCTTCTTTCTCGCCGGGACGCGTACTCCAGTAGGCATTCCACCAGAGTCGGGCATCACTGGTCAACTGAAGCTGTGCAAAAGTGACGCGATAGCGATCTGGACAGTCCATGACCTCGAAAATCAATTCAAGGCCCTGAACCCACTCATCAACGATACGTGGATCTCCCTAACCGGAGAACTTCTCATGATGATAGTCGCGAAACTGTGCGACTGTCGTGGCCTGAGAAATAACAGGATGGTCGGGTTCTCTACGGGGCGGCATCTGATCATTGAAAAGGTTCAACATGATTAAAATTCAATGAAATACTTTAACTGATCATTAAAGCACACAGATCTCTTGACGAGTTGCTAAACATGCCTTGGAAAAATACTGACTTATATCCTGACTACTGGTCCTGAACATGATTCGAGCATCTTAACTAATTTATAACTGAAAATTTCTGAGCATAGAAATAGTACTTGTTTATAATTTGAAAACATGAATCAACACTTACCTGTAGTCGGCGAGGCGTGAGCGTGACGGTTCAGGTTTGTCTGAAAATTTCTGACTGATAAAACTTCTCTGAGACGCAGAAACGTGCTCTGATACCAACTGTAACACCCCGCCTTATCGTGAAATCAGAGTGCGTAATTTCGCAAAGTCTTTTACAATAAAATATTTAATTTGCGAAAACTGATTCGGGGTGCTACCGTAAAACATGACTTATTCTGAAAAACCGTTGTTTTTGTTTTTACCAAAAGTCTACGGTTTATTGAAAGCATTAATTATCTGAAAGTCTGATCAAAAGATAAGTACGTCAAAACATCATAATCAACGGAAACGTAGCATCATCAAAATATTTACAATCACATGAGCAGAAGTCCTGAATCATCCGTCATCTCACACCTCTGGCCCGACATCCTGACTTGAAAAACATGATAAAAGCGGTGCATGAGCAATAAAATACACTGTGCTCCGTGGAAACTCGTACTAAAGTAAACATCGAAGATAATTATAATAACATGATCCTGGCATGAACATGAACATGAAACCGGTACTGAATAATCATGTACTGATACTGATGGTGCGATAATCGTCACCTGCCTGATACCTGAACATCTGCTAGCAAAAATCTAATGCCGGACACCATGTGCACACTCTAGTGGGTAAATTAAGGCCACTAGAACCCAGAATGGACCGGTGACCATTCCGAGCGGATACTGATAATACATACCTCAAACATGGTAGAATAATTATGATCAATGTAATACCCAGTCTGAGTCCCCACCTGAACTGTCTGAATGAAAAGGCAGTGCTGATAATCGTATCCTGATCAAACTGAAAATAATATAAACAATTACTAAATACTATGCTCAGACTGATAAAATAACTTTTAAATATGTTAAGATGCTCTACTGGACTTAAACATGATCTTTGGACTTAACCGGTATAACCGGAACCGGCTGACATCAAAACTGAACTTGACATGAATTTACTGAACTGGACTGGACCCAGAAATTAACTGAAAACGGGACTTAAAACATGAACCGGGATTTAAATGATAATTTATGGACTGAACTGGTCCGAACTGGTCGAAACCGGTCTGAACCGGTCTGGCCGAACCGCCGGTCTGCTCGGACTGATCGGTTGGCTGCTGACTCGGTTCGCGGTCTTGCTGCGGCTGCGGGCGTGACTGCTGACGGCATTGGGTGCGGGCATGGCCGCTGCCGGACCTGCCCTGGCCACGGCCGAGGGTGCTGGGTGCACTTGGCCATGGCGGACGAGAACGAGACCTGATCTGGAGTGCTGCCGAGTGCTAGGTGCATCGGCTGCCACCTGACTGGGGTGTCAC